GAACCGAAAGATGGATAGTGAGGGAGTGAGTAGCGTGTCTCTTTAAGAAAAATGGGAGGGAGGCCCCTTGACGTGACATGGGTTGTCTCTCCTTCCTGTTTTTCGGTTCTCAAAATGGCGAATGCTCAGTGTGGTTTGAGCTCTTTAGCATAGCATTTGTCAAACCAAGCTTTTAATAAAAAAATTTAAAAATCAGTAAACAAGTTCTCAGCTTCTTTTTGCAAAGAAAAACAACTTTTTAGATGAAGACACGGGTTTCAACTGTGAATTTTGGAGCTTTGACAAGACGGAGGTTTCCCCCCGAGGTCGGCCTGTTAGCTTAGCTCGTAGCTTAACTTCTCAGCTTAGCTGCTTTTAACGATCCAAAAGCATGATTTTGGACGGTTACAACAGATTTTAAAGAGAAAAGAGAAAGGGAGGGATCAGTGAAGAGCACCGGAGTTGAGCCTTTTGTCATCCAGTGTCTTCAGTAGAAAGAGAGAGACACGAAGAAACGATAAAGCCGATAGATGAAAATGAGGTCGACGATTTTCATTTATCATGCGATTAATTGATTTATTGTTTATTGTGACAGGCCTATACTTATATACTGTTTCTTTTTATATTTTTGCTATTTTGGGGTGAAACTGGGACCTTGAGTACATTATTTCGTTCCACCTCATGTACCACATGTGATGCAAATGACAGTAAAGATACTTGAAGTTGAATTTTCTTGCTGGCTCAAATAAAGTCATTCAAATCTTTTGAGGATGTTAGCTTCTTAAACAACTCACTTTTTGACAATAAGAGATCACTTCTGACTTAATTCATGAACCACTGGCTTGTCTGTGAGGAGTCTAACCCATGGCGAATGGCTGCCATCTTAAAACAATCCCAGTCTTAAAAAATGTGTACCTGTTCATGTGAACCATGTTTTATAAACCTCTACATGTGTCACTTTTACAATACATAATTACTAAAGCAAAAACATTATTGTATTCTTATCAAAAAAGCCTCACAATGCACTGATAGTGCTACATCTAGCTGTCACTGCTGCTACTAGGACTTACAATGAAACATAAATTATTCTAAATTTGGTTTTGATCTTTTCCAATTTGGTTTATGCCCCATAGTCAAAGTTAAAATACATTTCCTCAATTTAACAATATCAGTGTTCAAGGTGACTTTATTGTCATTCGCATCACATGTGGTACATGAGGTGGAAAAAAATTGTGTACTCAAGGTTCCAGTTACACGCAGAAGTAACAAAAATATAAAGCATATAAAAAAAGTATAACAAAAGACACACACGGATCTAAGATATGCGATAAACAATAATAATATAGTATAATACACTGTTTTAAACAGTAACCTCAACAAGTAAGATATTCTTTGTTCATAACCGTTCAACAAAACCCCACTACAAATATATAAAATTTTGTTTTGTGGGAATTATTGCTAAATATATTTATTTTTAGCTCTAACCTATCTGTACCACTCTATATAATGCACAATATGCACATTATTATAATTATATATCTATTGACCTGGCAGGTATTATTACACTTTTGGCTGTTAGTTCTAAGATTGAATTAATTTAATGTACTTTTTTCCTAGTATAGAAGACTACCCAATATTAGACCAGATAGTGGTAGCTGATAGCTACCAGATAGCTGGACTCTGCAGAACCGGGACACGTCCACCTCTAGCACAGAACCACCAGGAGGAGGAGGAGGACTGGGTATCAGCTAACGACAGTTTGAGTTCTCTCCCACAAACCAAACGGCGTAGAAGAACCCGAATGTTAAAAGTGTTACCAGAAACGACCTCGATATCAGCTTTACATTTCGGTCTTGTTGTTTTTGCGCCTTCTTCCAGCTGCATTCAACAACGGGTCAAAGCTGACGCAAAATTTTTCACCGAAGCAGCTGGAATTCTGCTTTCGTATTTATTATCTGAATCTGAAGATCTGAAGATCTCGGCCTTGACCTCTGTAAGTGGTTTTAAACATCTGTTAAGTTCCTGGGGAAAAAACAATGCAGACATGTCCCTGTTTTTAGTTTTCCACTCTGCCTTACAACCTAGCTGTTTTTTTTTTGTTGTTGTTACATCTTCTATTAAATACCATATGGCATTTTATTTTCACTTGTCATTCTCAACTTGTACACATCCTTTATGAATGTCTTTTGTTGTCCACTGTTGACATCACTCTTTGTTGAAATCAGGTCTCTCTTTGTAAATGATTCCCTGAGGCTGAATGGGATTAAGCTGTATAAATAAAGGTTGAATAAATAATATCAGCAAGACAAAGAAATATGACGTGAAGGTTTATTGTCCTCCACCTCACAGTTAGCTCTGCATTGTTCTGCTTATGAGCAGCACTTATGCTTTGGCTTCTTTTTGTGATAATTATAGCTGTTGTTGTTTCTTTAAAAAGTTAGTTTCTTGATCTGATCATTTTAAATTCAAAACTGATACTCAGTTATTTCTCAGCCATTTTTTTCTCCCTCCATTTAACAAACGCGTGTACAAACAGCAATAAGACAATGTAAAATAAAAAAAACCAGCTGTTTTTATTTAATTATTTGTATTTACGATGTGCCTTTCAACATAGTAACATCTTACCCCATCTGGAAACTTATACTTTATTTTAACCTATTTTTACATGGACACAACTTAAGTTTATCACTGTTTTATTCCCTCCCTTCATCTCTTGCTCCATGCCGCGGTCTTCACCCAGCAACTCACACTAATCTGAGGGCTTCACTGGAGATAGACAGACAGATGGGCGAAAAGTAAGAAAAAGGAGGAGAGGGATGCACGGATGGATGGAAGGAGGAGAGGGAGACATGTGACCCACTTAGCAGAGTCTGAAGTATTTATAGAAGTAAGTGTCCTAATTGGGGAGCCACTGGGAGAGCAGCAGCTCTGCACTGCTGCCCTACTCCTTGTCCTTCACCTCCTCAACCTTCTCATCTCACCGTCCTTTGCTTCTATTCTCTTAACGTCTTCCTCCCGCTTTCCTTTCGAAAACCTCATCATTCTTTCTCGTGCCATTTTTGCCTCTTCCTCCTCAATGATCAGTGACCTTCTCTCCATCCTTCCTCCTCCGTCTTACCCCTCCTGCTCCTCCACCTCCTGCTTTGACTTTCCCTGCTCTGAGTTTACTTTGCCCTCCATAGTTTTTCCTCCTGTAGTTATCACTGCTCACCTGCTTCGAATGTTATCAGCCATTAAATGGCCATTACTAATAACAAACGGAGCTTTCTTAGTTTGCACATATCTCAGGAGAAATTGAATAAGTCGGCCAGCTTCGAGGCAAAATGGGGGAGTCAGATTCAGATAAGCCACAGTTGTTGATTTTTTTCAGGCAGACTTATTTCTCATCAACCTTGAGTTCTGCTGGTCTTTTTAATCCAAAATGGCCAGATTTGTGGGCATTCCACTGGTCCGTGCTTAGGAGGCTCCTCCAAGGTCATTTCCAACATGCTGATGAGTCGCAGCAGCCGCAAGTGTCGTGCAATAATCACAAATTGCTTGCATTTTATGGTTTAGCTCGTAAATCAGCTGATTTTGGGTACTTGAAGCACAAAACAAACTTGCAGACAGGGTCAGCAGCTTTGCCATGGCCGCGGCTGCTGCTGCCTTATATTATTTATTAATTATTATATTGCCTTTCATGTGAGGGACTTTACAATGAGATAATTTTATGTTGAGAAATGACAAAGTTGTAGCTGTATTGGTCCAACCTCGAAAACAACATTATATGTAATCTCATGCAAGAGCTTGGAGATGTCACACTCAGAGTGGATGTTGTGAATGACTCTCAGCTACTGCCAAATCACACTTTAGCTCAGTATCTGTAAAATTAACTGAATTATAACCTTTTTTTTTTTTGCGTTGGCTCAGAGCATTGGGCTGCTGAGGCCATCTTAAATTTGGCTGGTTGCAAAAGTTAATAATTTGTAGAAGTACAACCAGTGGTTGTACAGCAAACTGTCAACAGCAAGCTGGTTGATCCACTATGAAAAGGGGCTATTTATAAGACTGAGTGTATTGCAGCTCCTCAGACTGACAAAGTCTTTTGGATAAAAAATTAAACCTTTCTGTTCAGAGGACCTGACTTAACTTTGCTAGATACGACCAGTGGTAATTTTTAGAAAGTTGAACTAAAATGTGTCCAATGGTTCACGAGATATTTTGCTAACAACCAGACAGGGAGGACTCCAACAGTTAATGTCTTAGTGTTAAACAATCCTGGGCCATTACTTAGCACTCAAAACAAATGTTTAAAATTAGTCTCAGCTCATACAAAACTAGGTCTTTAATTAAAAAACATTGACAGTTAAAAGCATTTTTGTGTTGTCTTGAGTTAATTAGGGGTTTTCTCCGGGTACTCCGATTTCCTCCCACAGACCAAAAACATGCATGTTAGGCTGATTGGTAACTCTAAATTGTCCCAAGGTGTGAGTGAGAGAGTGAATGGTTGTTTGTCTCGTTTGTCTCTATGTGTCCCTGTGATGGACTGGAGACCTGTCCAGGGTGTCCCCCACCTCTTGCACAGTGATGGCTGGACATGGGCACCAGTGACTCCTGCGACCCAAAAAGGAAGAAGCGGGTAAATATAATGGATGGATGGATGGATTAATTAGCTGTGGCGGTTATGTTGCCATGTTGACTCTAAAAGGTTGTAGATGTCAACCCAATTTTCTTTCTGAAACTTTTATGAAAAGTAATTCAGTGGTTTATGAAATACTTTGTTGACAGTACAGAGAAACAAACGCATGCATGCACACGCAACACACACAGACCTTGGCAAAACCAATATCACTCCGCTACTGCCTTTGGAGGCAGACAATAATAACACGACAACATTGCAAAAGGTTGCAAGTTCAATTTTAACGTTTTAAAATGAAAAGTAAAACTTTTTCCTGTCATCATAGGAGCAAAATATACTAAAAGTGCACATGAAAATAAACATTAACTTAAAGGCGTAAAGTGTGGACGAAACGAAAACTCACGTAGGAAGTATTCTGAAGCGTCTGCTTCATAGTCAGCATCTTCTGGGAAGTGATCTATCTGCTTACACATGCCTTTAAAAGAACCTGCATGGAAAGAACAGAAAGAACATGGTACAATGTGTGTGGGAAACAATAGGCTGTTCAGAAAAATGTTGCCCAAGTTATACAAGTTTGTAGTTATAATATGTGTAAATGAGTATTTGTATCTGCGCTGAGTAATGGTCATAATAATTCCTCAAAGAACAACAAAAAGTCATTAACAGAAACATGTAGTATGGGAACAAAAAGTATCAATGAGAAGAAGACGAGCAGAGTTTCTTCTCACTTCTGATTGTATTCAGGGCAGGAGGAGGGAATCAACCACATGCAAGAGGAAAATGGGAGGAAAAGATGGAGTGCCGCTCATTAGGATGGATTATGTGTGTGAGTGCGTGGCTTGGTTCAGCTCCAGCGCTAATTGCATGCCCTCCCAAACCACTGCAATTAAATGGACCCCTGTTAATTGGCAATTAGAGGATGAAATACCAGTGCCTGGCTTTCAGATGGGTATAGGTTACACACATACAAAATATCACACACAAACAACCTTATATACTCAGGCACACACATATCGTAATACTAGTATCAGACCGTTTGTCTAACATCTAATTTCTTCTCGGTCATCCCAGTGAAAGTACTTAGATCTAAGCTTTCAAACAGAAGAGTTTCATTTTGATGATTGAAATAACATTTTTAAACTAAATAATGACAAAGTATAATTAAAAAAAAGATTTGTCTCTAACAACAGACTGGGTATTTTTAATGTAACTTTAATATACTGTATCTAAACAGACATTCAGCCTTTGCAATAATACACCTGAAACAGTAAACAAGATATGGAGCAAACACAGACAGCTTACACTTAGGGTAGACTGAATGTACTAATGATAGAATGTTTTTTATACTGTATAGCAGCTATACAGTATATAATACATTGTATTATTAATGCATGCAGGATACCATAGGCTATACTATAGCCTATGATTTAAACAGTCAGCACAAAAGAAGAAAAAGACAGGGATGGAGAACACAAGAGCAAGGACTGAATCATTTTATGGAACGATGATGGAGAGGAACATCGACTTTTTGTCACAATGAAGACAACAAAACTATAGGATAGTGTTGATTAGGAGCTGTGTTAGTTTAAAATCCTCAAACTTATTGGACACTTTTCAGGTATTACCCAATGAGAGATGGCTTTGAGGAATGAGCCATCCATTCCATCCTTCCAATGAGGAAGGGCTTTCCTCAAGATGTTTTAAGCACATCAGGGTAAGTTCTTTATACATGTTTTTTTTTCTCCAGTTTTTTAATGCATACTGGATGTATATTTTGGTATTTTTCTAAAACGTTTGCTTTAATTTTGTTGACAGTTGGATAAAATGATTAAAAACGTGTTGACATAAAGTTAATGGTGTAAAATTAAGGGGATTTCCCTGATTTATTTAAAACAATGTTGTTCTTCAGCGTCCGTTATACATGAAGGTTTCGATGTTGTTTACCAGCTAGCATCTGCAGCACATACACAATACAAAGATATAACACTCTGTCATAGTTCTTGTAACAATTGTTAGACTTGAGGTGGCCGGTTAGATGTTAGTCTATGACATGATCATTTTCAAAAGGATGTGTTAAAGCTGTCTACACAAAAAAAACCCACAAAAGTGGTGTTTCAAGATTTTTTCACTCTGGAACCTTGTTTCAAGAAATACTGTTAAGTGACACCTAAAATGCAGTTTCCATGTGGAGGCAACATTGGCATCAGAAGCATTTGTAATGGGGGGTGGGGTCCTCTACCAGAAAATTTTGAACAAAGATGCCATTTCCTGCATTCATTCTGGTACCTGCATTTACCTACATATGCAAACACTTCATTCAATAACTATTTTAGAGTTAATGGCACGACAAGAAGTAGCCTGACCAACAGCTCTCCTTGTGTGAGAGCACACTCTGTTTCTCTCATACATCATAACCCCACTCCACAAATCAAATGGATTTGTTCACAAAAAAAATAGAAACAGTGCTGGGTGAACTAATATTTCATGGTAAATGTATGGGGGGTCCAAATTAGTATTTTCTGAAAGTGAGGGGGACACGCCCCTTTCACATACAATGGTTGTGATGCCATATGGGAGGCAAGACTGAAATGTTACAAAACTTTTATGTTTTCTAAAACAACATTCCAGTGGTGAACCAGACATAAATTGGACAAAGTATGAATCCATTTATAGAACAAACATTAACGAATAGACTAAAAACACCAACATTTTTTGGTTTTGAACCAGTTTGACATGACTGTCAACGAGGAAGAGGGCTTGCACCAAAGGAGGGGGCGCGCCAAAGACACCATCTTAGCACCAACATAACTGGTTTGTTCCACTTTGGAGTAAGCTGTTTGGGGGAAGAATCAGTTTTGTGTTGTGTGTTTCCTTGACTGATGAAGCCTTCTGGATGGAAGGTAAAACGTTTCAGAAAAAAAAAAAACTGTCCAGATGACCTGACTAAAAATTGTTGGATTGTATACCTGGATTATTGAGCATGGACTTTTTTGACTAAAAACACACTTTATCATTCTACAATAGCAAAGGGTTATGTATTATAATACAAGTTATGCAATTTGTTTTTCATGTATGTAGAAATTGTTAAAGTACTATTTATCTCTTTAAAATGTATTTTTTAGTTGGATACTTAATACTAAAATATTAAATATTTTGTCATTAGAGGGGGTCATCCATACAAAATATTTTTTACTGGACTTCGGTGTGCTGGCTGAAATTGTAACGAGTGACGTGGTTCTAGAGTAATTAATGCGGAACGTTCATATGTTGATTTTCTGTATCGTCATATATCAAATGGCATGAAATGCTCTAAAAATGACAATAATACACCAAACTGTCTAAAAGAAAACAGTTAGGATGTCATAAACTCATGTGTAAATTTGAAATTTGTGTACATAAAGATCATCATCTATTTAATAGCATCAGAAGGCATATTCCATATAATGGTTGCTAGGTGATGAACAAAGAAGATCCAGCGAGGACACCGCTCCATCACTCCCACGGTGATACTGTTTGCGTGTGCGTTTGGTTTTCAACTTTAATTCATTGCTATGAGTGCTGGTGACTCCATGTGATTATCTCATAATTTGTTAAATGTATCACTTCACACGCATCGTTGTGTAGGATTTCCGTCATGTTATTCTTCTCCAACCACTCTTCCTCTAAAGCTCTCCTTTTCACACGCTCCCTCACTCGTTCCAACGCATGCCCACCCACGCTGCACCATGGGCACATGTAATCTAGAATTGTGTTTTTTTTTTCTTCCCTACCTTCTCTCCTTTTCTCTCTCTCTCTCTTACACACAGCACCCCCCCCTCCTTCTCTCAGTCTTTCACCTGCCCTCCCATTGGTCTTTCACAGTACAGTACATAAATGTCCCGACTTTCTTTCCTTCCTCGTCATCTTCCTCTGTGACTCGTTCTTTTTCAACTTTTTGCATTTTAAATTAAGAGCATTCTGTACAGTTTTTCAGGAAAGAACTCCGTGTGGAATATTTTCTGGATCAAATATAAGACGCAATATGTGGCTTTATTTTTATTAAAGTGTAACGTTGACTTAAGCGCAGTTAGATGCTAAAGGGCAATCAAAAATTTGATGGCAACATCGAGAAAGTGTAAATTGCAGGTAATTGCACAGGAATTTTGTTTTATAAACATTCAAATGGGGGAGTAGTGGAGCAGAGGTTAGAGAAGGCGAGCTTGTAATCGGAAGGGCGCCGGTTTGATCCCCCGGACCAACATCACAGTGTATCAATGCTATATGTTGTCATCATTGTATGTTCCCATACAATGACAAAACTGGCTCTCTGCATTTAGCCCATCGTACCTGGGATACACACAGGTGGAGCAGTGGGCAGCTATTGAGCGCCCGGAGAGCAATTAGGAATTGGGTGTCTTAATCAGAGGCAACGCGTCATGTGGGAATGGCTGGGAGTTGAACCACAACGTTCTGGTCCCAAATTGGCTGCCGTTCCTCTACTCCATCTTGGCCCTAGTATGGATGGGAAAGGTGAAGCACCCACACCCACCTCCACCTCATCTGCCCCACTCTGGGCCTTTGAACAAGGCCCTTAACCCCCACTTTCTGCTCCCCCGGGCAGCTCTCTGTTCCACACAGAGGGCTGTGGTAGGTCAGTGGTCTGTGGTTGCGTCAGGAAGGGCATCCGACGTAAAAGCAATTGCCAACAGTTTAAATAAAATACATATCATTTCATCATCTGCTTAAGCCACTCTGAGGACACGAGAAGGTTTTTTAACCGGTTTTACTTGCAAGGACTCATTCAAAACAGACTACATACACAGATATACAATGCATGGACCATGTCAATGAATGAGCATCAGAGTTTGCTGCAGACAGCAGCAGAGTCCAGCATCCATTCCCTCACAGACAGCTGCAGTCAGATGCATGGCTGTCGGCTAGTCGACCTCCAGCTGGAGATAAGAGAATGTTTTGGGCATGTTCTCATGGCGTCAACACCAGTGAGGCACTGTGAGTCGGTGATTCGACCTTCAGGCTGAAACGAGACAAGAGAATGTTTTGTGCATGGGCCTGTCGCAATAAACAATAAATCAATTAATCGCATGAAAAATGAAAATTATCAACCTCATTTTATTTATCAGCTTTATCGTTTCTTTGTGTCTCTCTTTCTACTGAAGACACTGGATGACAAAAGGCTCAAATCTGGTGCTCTTCACTGACCCCTCCCTTTCTCTTTAAAATCCGTTGTAACTGTCCAAAATTGCGTTTTTGGATCGTTAAAAGCAGCTAAGCTGAGAAGCTAAGCTACGAGTTAAGTTAACAGGTTGACCTTGGGAACAAAACCTTCGTCTTGTCGAAGCTTCAAAATTCACGGTTGAAACCCGTGCCTTTGTGTAAAAAGTTGTTTTTCTCTGCAAAAAGAAGCTGAGAACTTCTTTACTGATTTTTTATTAAAAGCTTTGTGTGAAAAATGCTATGCTAAAGAGCTCAAACCACACCGAGTGTCCA